ATATAAATGCAATCATCATTATTATCATCATTATTATTATTATTATTATAATTATATTGATAATAATTATATTGATATTTTTTAGAAACTCAGTCTATCGCCCAGTCCTAGTGCTGCACTTACAGACAGGCCACACCCACTCATGAATGCATGTCATGCAGGAAGTAACGGTGTGAATCCAGGCTGTCATATTGCATATCAGACCAAACTTATGTTTAAATGTAGCATATTTGCAGGTTTTCTTTCTGCAGCTGCATTAAATCACAGTATGCTGGCTTTGCTGCACATGTGTTCCTAATATCTTGGCCACGTTTATTTCCTGTATTTCTCCTTTCTTCTGTTTCTCTTTCTTCAGTTTACAGTGTGTGTAAGTATCTGGCTTTTCTCTTCATCTCTGTATTTGAAGCTGTTTGTGGACTCTTGGCAATTACTCTGCTTGTTTTCATGCTTTTATTTCCTCTACACAACATCCTGTCAGGTTTTCTTCAGCATTTGAAATTGAATATGTGTCATGACATTCATGTTAGGCCCCAAGCAGTCTGCTGGAGGCCCTGGAGCAGCACTTGGCGTCTTTAGAGGGAAAGAAAGTCAAAGATTCAACAGCAGCCAGCAGGTAGGTCTGTTTCCTGGTCCCTGCAGCGTTTGCTTCAGCGATTTGATGGCTCTGCACTGACTGAGATCACAAAGCATTATGCATGCTAGTCTTCTTCTTCCTCTCCTGTTTGTCCCGTGATTCAGAGCGAGCACCCTCTCCAGTGCCGTCTCTTCCCTGGCCAACACCGGCATGTCTTTCTCCAAAGTGGACGAGAGGGAAAAGCAGGCTGCCCTGGAGGAAGAGCAGGCTCGCCTCAAAGCCCTGAAAGTACGTTTCAGCCGCACTTCTTAGATTCTCTTCTCCTCGATGCACGTGAGGCCAGAGGAGCAACATCTGTAAGCATGTTGTGTAGAGCTGACATTGTGTAGTTCAGACGTTGTTGAGAAATTTGCTTTGGGTTCGTCTGCAGCAGCGACCCAGTTTGGTAGCTTTGCCCGTACTGGGAGTCTGGTAGTATACCAGTAGTAGTACCTTATTACCTGCTGAGGAAATTATGGAAATTATTGTCTTATTATTAGTCGTTCAGTCCTGGTTGTGTTTGTGATGGGGTGTCTCTCTGTGACTGTCAGCATCACGACACACCACAGCTGTAGAGGTATAATTAGGGTAACAGCAGGTAGATGTGCAAAAACAATTAGCAAAGCAAATATTATGTGTGTGGCAAAAGAACTGATCTCAAATGAAACTGACAAATTAAATATTAACATTTGATGTTGTGATGTTAGAAAGTTCACTCTGCAGGTGAGATGGTTGCAGGTTTCAACAAGTGCACAAAAACATGATATTTTGTTTGTTTTTGTTTTGTTTCTGGTTGCTTATGACTTAATTAAAAATACTTTGCACTTACACACAACAAAGTGTTATTGGGTGAAACAAACCCCAAATTTTACTTGTGCTGTTTTAAAAAAGAAAGATCATTCTTGTTTCATCATCAAAAACATGTTTAAATTGTTTTGTTTCCATTTCGTCATCGTG